TAATCCCCCCCCCCCCCCGTCTAGAGTTTGGGATGCTGGGCTGAAAGAAAAATTTCCAAAGTGAACAACGCTGCCCCACTTCCCGCCTCTCGTTTGGTTTCATACTTTCTAGTTGTCTCTTACTATGCTCAGGATAACAGTTGCACAGGCTTATGTACCAATAAAGTAACACTAAGGGATAATTAAATTTTGTGTCTGGTTAGCAGAAACCACACAATTAAAAACACACATTGTTTCTGAATTGCATTTATCAGTGTGGCTCAACTTGCTCATCAAAAATACTTAATAGAAAACATCAATGGGTCCAATAAGTCAAATTTAGTATCAGAGCGGCATACGGGAGGGGACTCTGAATATAATAATGTTGACGAAGCAATGAAATAAAGTATTATCCCAGGCACACACAAGTGAATAAAATTAACATTAGTAAAACGAATCAGACAGAAACACTTATTCAGGGGAGCTTTATGTGAGCTTGCAGTTGCATGATTTGTCTTAGTGTCACTCTAAGCAGTATCATGAGCTCAACCATCTAAGATAACCTTTAGGTTTCAGAACTGTCCTAACAGATGACTGGCAGATCAGAGAGGTCAGACAGGACTCTTTCCAATCTGATAAACAGAAAAGGGCTCCTAAAGCAAGTGAGGAGGCTTGTCAGTGAAGGATGAATCAGATACTATAATCTGATAGAAAAGCAACAAAGACAGGACTTCGGGTCTAGTCTTCTGCCCTCTCCCATCCCACATGAAGGAAAAGCTTCCCACAATTTCACGATGCAAATTTTTCAGCAATTCCAATGTAGTGATGCATCTGTCCTAGAAATTCTACTTATGAACTCCTACTACATCATAAAACATTCGTAGAAGTTCTCCAAGTACAGAAATGGATATTATTCTCAACCTGAAATACAGTTCCTTGCTTGGACTTGCAGAATATTGCTCTACGTTTTAAAATGGACTGTCCTGCTCTGTATGTCAGTAAGTTCCAGTAAAAAACATTAAGGATCATTCCATGTTACACATGGGAGTACTGATTTTTCATTTGAAATAAGTATTTTTAAGGAATGCTGGTGGTTTTAAAAAATACATTCTTTTCAAGATTGAAACTGAAGAAACAACCAGAGAAAACTGCATCTCTCCAGTGAGGAGCAGAGCTGTATAACCTACCTGCGGCCCAGCACAGAAAGCAAAATCTAACTCCTGGATCAGTACAGTCTTCATTATCTACTACCAAACTTCATTTTGATTTGA